TATCGGCCACCATATCGGTATCGGCCGATATATGTTAATTTTTAATGTTATCGTTATCGGCCTGATAAGAAAATTTGTCCGATATATTAAAGCCAATAAATAATGTATTATTTCCATCAGTTGAGACTCTTCAGATGTGCACTGTTCAACATCATGGTATTGAATTGCTTGAAATATGATTAGAATCACTTCAAAAAAAAGAAAATACAGTTCAGTGCAACATGTGCAGCGCAAGTCTGTCATATCGGCTACATAAAATTATAACGAGAACATTATAATTGTGTGTTTGGGACATGGATTAGACTTTTAATCAGGTGCTCAAAAATGATATAAAAATCTGTTTTTAGTTTTATCGGCCGATATATCGGTAATCGGGTTTCAAATATAAAGAATTGACGGTTATCGGCATGTGTGCATCGGACAAAATGTTCATATCCCCCCCTCAACATTTAATCACGCTTTATTAAAATCAAAAGTTGTAGCTATTATTGAATGGATCTGAAATTACAGTTGTATTTTTTAAACTAACTTTAACAATGAATAATAACTTCTATAAACAAATGTAGCTCTTTTTAAAGCATTAACTAACAAGACCTTATTGTAAAGTGTTACTTACTGTTTTATATAATTCTTTTGCACTTTAATCTGTTTGAAACATTTTTTTACTTTATACTTTTTTGTGTATTGCTTGTAATCAGGCTCTCAGAAATTATAAAAAAATCTGGATTTAGATTTATCGGCCACTATATCGGTTATCGGCTTTCAAATATAAAGAATTATCGGTATCGGGCAAAATTTTCACACCGGTGCATCTCTAATATTTATATCAGTAATTATTAAGTTGAGAGCAACGTGTCGGTCATATTGGCTACATAAAATTATAACGAGAACATTATAATTGTGTGTTTGGGACATGGATTTAATAGTGAGACTTTTGTTTTTGTAATCAAAAATGTAAAAAAAAAATTTGATTTAGATTTATCGGCTGATATATCGGTTATCGGCTTTCAAATATAAATAATTATTGGTTATCGTATCGGCAAAAATTTTCATATCGGTGGATCACTAATAAAAGCATCCGCCAAATAAATAATCACAAACGTATTATGTGATTATTGCCATTATATAAGCCACTTTAGTGACAGTGCACTAAATCTTTCACCTATTTTAGGAATATTATTATTTTTTGCACTCTTTCAGACTCTATTTATTGATGTAGTAGTTTTGTATTTAAGAAGGGAGTGAAATTGCAGACATTACAGTATTTAAAAAGTGTTAAATATAGGAATGCACAAAATATATCGGCCACCATATCAGTATCGGCCGATATATGTTCATTTGTAAAGTTATCCGATAAAGATTTGTCCGATATATTAAAGCCGATAAATAATGGATTATTTCCTTCAGCTGAGATGCGCACTGTTCAACATGATGGTTTTAAATTGCTTGAAATATGATTAGAATCACTTCAAAAAAGGAAAATACAGGAAAGTGCAACATGTACAGCGCAAGCCTGTCATATCGGCTACATAAAATTATAATAAAAACATTATAATTGTGTGTTTGGGACATGGCTTTTAATGCTGAGACTTTTGTTTTTGTAATCAGGCTCTCAGAAATTACATAAAAATCTGGATTTAGATTTATCGCCAATATATCGGTTTTCAAATATAAAGAATTATCGGTATCGGGCAAAATGTTCATATCGGTCCATCCCTAATAAAAGCATCCGCCAAATAAATAATCATAAACGTATTATGTGATTATTGCCATTATATAAGCCACTTTAGTGACAGTGCACTATATTTTTTCACCTATTTTAGGAATATTATTATTTCTTTCAGACTCTATTTATTGACGTAGAAGTTTTGTATGCAAGAAGGGAGTCAAATTGCAGAAATGACAGTATTTAAAAAGTGTAAAATATAGGAATGCACAAAATATATCGGCCACCATATCGGTATCGGCTGATATATGTTCATTTTTAATGTTATTGTTATCGGCTTGATAAGAAAATTTGTCCGATATATTAAAGCCGATAAACAATGTATTATTTCCATCAGCTGAGACACATCAGATGTGCACTGTTCAACATGATGGTTTTAAATCGCTTGAAATATGATTAGAATCACTTCAAAAAAGGAAAATACAGGAAAGTGCAACATGTGCAGCGCAAGTCTGTCATATCGGCTACATAAAATTATAATAAAAACATTATAATTGTGTGTTTGAGACATGGCTTTTAATGCTGAGACTTTTGTTTTTGTAATCAGGCTCTCAGAAATTACATAAAAATCTGGATTTAGATTTATGGCCAATATATCGGTTTTCAAATATAAAGAATTATCGGTAGGTATCGGGCAAAATTTTCATATCGGTGCATATCTAATAAAAGCATCCGCCAAATAAATAATCATAAACGTATTATGTGATTATTGCCATTATATACGTATGCTATTATTGCTAATAAATATATATATTGGGTGTTTTTCCGTTCCAGATCATGGCACTCGCCACCGCCCTCTCGTCTCGCTCCACTGGTGTGTGTGTGCAACGATCCCCCTGAGGAGAATCATGCTGTCGGGCAGCTGGCGCCGGGGAACCATCATGGCGTCTGCGAGCGGGTCGGGTCCCGGGTCGAGACTGGGTAACACTGTGATTCTGGAAGCCCAGTATGATTACTCGTACCGCGGCGCCGACGGGCGTCTGGTCTCGATCCACGAGGGCGAGCGATTCCTGCTCCTGAAGAAGACGAACACCGACTGGTGGCAGGCCCGGCGGATCGGCGCGGGCGCGAAGGTCAAACCCGTTTACGTGCCGGCGACGTACGTCATTGAGCTTCCCGTCAGCTCGTTCCGCCCCTCGATGCCCAGCAGCCAATCAGACGCTCTCAAGATGATTCCACGAGGGTCCCTCACGCCCTGCATGCAAACGCACTGCTCAGGTACGGCTCTACGTATTTATTTGATCAAAAAAACAGTAAAAATTTGGAAATATTATTATAATGTAAATCTGCTGTTTTCTATGTGAATATATAGTAAAGTGTAATTTATTCCTGTGATCAAAGCTGAATGTTCAGCATCATTACTCCAGTCTTAAGTGTCACATGATCCTTCAGAAATCACTCTAATATGAGGATCTGATGATCAAGAAACATTTCTGATCATTATCAGTTGTGCTGCTTAATATTTTAGTCGAAACTGTGATGTATTTTATTTTTAAGGATTCTTTGATGAATAAAAAGTTCTAAAGAACAGCATTTATTTGAAATATAATCTTCCGTAACATTATCGATTTAATACATTCCTGCTGAATTACAGTATTAATTTATAATTAACTAACTAAATATAAAATGTTCATCTATGCTTTGGCAAAATAAATATGGAAATGAAGATGTAGATGCTTTCCTGTAACAGTAGAGCGCTGGCGCTTGCAACGCCAAGGTCATGGGTCGATTCCCAGGGAAATGGAGAATATGGAGATGAAGACATAGAAGTGAAAATTAAATATATTTTATATAAAAATTTTATATGTATAAATTATATATTTAATGATTTAAAAATAAATATCAGTGTGCAGATATTTACTATATAAATATAATTTAAAATATATTTAAATTAGGGCTGTCAAATTGATTATTTGCGTTTAAACGCATCTAACATAAATGTTTGTTTATATACACTCACCGGCCACTTTATTAGGTACCCCATGCTAGTAACGGGTTGGACCCCCTTTTGCCTTCAGAACTGCCTCAATTCTTCGTGGCATAGATTCAACAAGGTGCTGGAAGCATTCCTCAGGGAGTTTGGTCCATATTGACATGATGGCATCACACAGTTGACGCAGATTTGTCGGCTGCACATCCATGATGCGAATCTCCCGTTCCACCACATCCCAAAGATGCTCTATTGGGTTGAGATCTGGTGACTGTGGAGGCCATTTTAGTACAGTGAACTCATTGTCATGTTCAAGAAACCAATTTGAAATGATTAGAGCTTTGTGACATGGTGGAAGTAGCCATCAGAGGATGGGTACATGGTGGCCATAAAGGGATGGACATGGTCAGAAACAATGCTCAGGTAGGCCGTGGCATTTAAACGATGCCCAATTGGCACTAAGGGGCCTAAAGTGTGCCAGGAAAACATCCCCCACACCATTACACCACCACCACCAGCCTGCACAGTGGTAACAAGGCATGATGGTTCCATGTTCTCATTCTGTTTACGCCAAATTCTGACTCTAACATCTGAATGTCTCAACAGAAATCGAGACTCATCAGACCAGGCAACATTTTTCCAGTCTTCAACTGTTCAATTTTGGTGAGCTCTTGCAAATTGTAGCCTCTTTTTCCTATTTGTAGTGGAGATGAGTGGTACCCGGTGGAGTCTTCTGCTGTTGTAGCCCATCCGCCTCAAGGTTGTGCGTGTTGTGGCTTCACAAATGCTTTGCTGCATACCTCGGTTGTAACGAGTGGTTATTTCAGTCACTGTTGCCCTTCTATCAGCTCGAACCAGTCTGGCCATTCTCCTCTGACCTCTGGCATCAACAAGGCATTTCCGCCCACAGGACTGCCGCTCACTGGATGTTTTTTCTTTTTCGGACCATTCTCTGTAAACCCTAGAGATGGTTGTGCGTGAAAATCCCAGTAGATTAGCAGTTTCTGAAATACTCAGACCAGCCCTTCTGGCACCAACAATCATGCCACGTTCAAAGTCACTCAAATCAACTTTCTTCCCCATACTGATGCTCGGTTTGAACTGCAGGAGATTGTCTTGACCATGTCTACATGCCTAAATGCACTGAGTTGCCGCCATGTGATTGGCTGCTTAGAAATTAAGTGTTAACGAGCAGTTGGACAGGTGTACCTAATAAAGTGGCCGGTGAGTGTATATGTGTATATATATATTTGTATATATATATATGTGTGTATGTATATATGTATATATATATATACATACACACACATATATATATATATATATATATGTACACACATATTATATAAACACAAACATGAAAGTTTGTTTATATATGTGTGTAAATATATTATTATATTTATATATATATGTGTGTGTGTGTGTGTGTGTGTATATATATATATATATATACACACATTTATATATATGTACACATACATATTATATAAACACAAACTTTTATGTTACATACAATTAATCACGATTGATCGATTTGACAGCACTAATTTAAATATATGAATATAATTTTTTGCTGCCTTTTAAAAATTCAGCAATGTCATACATATTGCAATGATGTCATTATGCTACTCTCCATTTCCATTAATCAGATTCAAAACAATTATTTGCATTATCTTAAAAATGCACCTGAAAGTACAATAGAACATATGCATTTCTAGTACATGAGGGGATGATGACATGATTTGGTAACACTTTACTTGAAGGGGTGTGCATAAGACTGACACGACACCTTCATAATCATGACAGGACACACGTCATAAATATGAAGGAGGTTTATGCATGTTTATGACTAGGGATGCACGATGATATCGGGACAACATCGGTATCGGCCGATAAAAGCTTAAAATGACCATCATCGGCATCGGCCGATATGAATATTTCTGCCGATGAGCCTTGCCGATAGGGTGGCTTGTTTCCTATGCGCACGTGACGACCGTGAACGAAGCATGAGCGCCAGCAACTTAAAGTCCCTGTAAAGTAAAAACTAAGTATGTGTTCTGAGTTTGTCACACCACAGAAAAATGTGTTATTAGCCACCCTGACAAATTTGAATGATAAAAAAAAGCAGCCGACGGTGATATTTGTGATACTGCTTTCGGGACGGGGAGATGAAGGCCGAGGCGGGAGATAGTCGGTTCGGCCCCATTCACCAGTAACAGCGGATTATCAGTGAATCCCAGTTGTCTCCGACGAAAGTTTATAAAACTATCCCGTGTAAAATGATCGCTACAGAGGCGGGTGTTGGCGGTGATCCTCAGCTCTCCATCAAGGTTGGCTCTTCACAAAATTAATCCACCTCTTCTTGATGAGATCGTTTTTAGGAAATTTAAATAAAGACACCAATCTGTTTTGTACATGATCGCATCCAGGTAGCAGCCTACGCATTTCCGTGTCGAAGGCATAGCTAGCTAGCAAACTGTAGGCTGTAGCAACTAATAGTACTGACAGTAAGTCGCGATTGAGTGGCCTCAGTGCGTCATCAAGTAGGGGCGTGTCCAGGAGCTCAGGGGCTCCAGTGCGTCATCGAGCCCCGTTTTAGCCCCGCCCAAAAAATCCGGAAAATAGCAATGGTGAAAAACTGTTTAACGGTCTAACTCCACAATTCAGTAATTCACAGTTCAGTCTTTGTAATATGTTTTAGCAATACATTTCTAACATTTATAATGGGTTTAGATTTTTTTTTTAGAATTGCCTTTACAGGGACTTTAAACTTCCAACTAGGGGTGTGCGTCTCACGGTTTTTGATCGTGGACGATTAAAATGTCTCCACGATCTGCTTTTGAAGAAAAATCATAGTATTGTGCATTCTATCAGTTCAATTCTGGCGCCTTCATCTCAACATACTGTACAACGCGACGTACATTCACATCACATGTAAACGCAGAGGTAGAGTTACACTCACGGGACACCGCAATTCACAAAAGTTCATTGTTTGCATGTGCGTCAAAGTCTTGCTAGGTAAACATGTCATTCACGTGCTGATGCGCTGTTCTAACATCCGCTTTTCTGAGCGCGTTACACCCGACGCTCACAGGAACTAAAGCCGTCACAGCGCCTGCATACTGGACTAATCTTTCCAGTCTTATTGCGCTGATACTGTCAAATACACACAAGGTTTACATAAAGTTGGTTATGTCTAAAGTGAAAGCAAACAGAGAAAATCTGCTTGTCAAATGCGTGTATATTAGACGCGTCGCGTTACTCGCGTGCAGTTCTTAAAGAGACAGTAAAAATATTCTGCCGCTTGTCTTTAAAGAGATACTGCACCCAGAAATAAAAATTCGGTCTATCTAATGTTGTTTCAAACCTGGATTCATTTCTTTCTTGTGCTTAAATATACTATGGAAGTCACAGGAGTACAGCAACTGTTTGGTTAGCCACATTATTCCAAATAACTTTTATAATTTCAACAGAAGAAAGAAACTTGAGAGAGTAAATGATGACAATTTAAATTTTTGGGAGAACTATCCCGTTAATGTTAATAAAACAACAAAACACAGAGGAAATCACTCACTGCTCTTGACTGAGAACATTAATAGAAGCTTTAATAAGCTTTTTTTGCACTTAAAAAAAATACAAATATATCGGTATCGGCATCGGGCAAAATTAGTTTGAAAATATCGGCATATCGAATATCGGCCAAAATCCTATATCGTGCATCCCTATTTATGACAACTGTCATTAAGTGTCATTCGCTCCATTATGACATTTTTAATGCAAATATGACATTGTTTGAGATGTCTTTGTTATGACACCTTGACATAAACCAATACATCATAACCTG